AGAAGTAGGACAGTATTGCAGGCTAATAATAAAAAGAAAATATAAGTGTCTGTATTTACATCACTCACTTTACTCGCAGTAGAGCTTCTTGTAAAAGAGTTCGACCAGGGAAGTACTACAACCTTACCTATATCTGCCGTCAAGCAGTAAAATGAGCATTACAGCGCTCCGGATTAGTGAAATTACAAGCACAAGTGATTTATCGACTCATGTCTGAGGGTGACGGGCGCAGTGGCAGTGCCCCATCTTTGCGATTTAAAGCTCTGAGTGGCACTAGAACTGCTCTAGACAGATGTTTAGCTCACCATCAGGCGCACGACTTGTTTGTCCCGGTCACATAGTATCATAATAACTTTTTATAAAAAAAAAGCCGACTAAGTCATGGAATTACAACTATTTGCCAAGTTTTATTGAAATTGATTACCGGAAAGTGCGTGAAACCGGATTCATCTCGTAGTTTGCCACCCTTAGAGGTGAAATATTTTCTTCAATGGGATTAACACCGGACCCAAAAAAAATCCAACAAAAAAAATCATCAAAATCGGTTAACAAATATTGGAGTAATCGCGTTACATGCGTAAAAAAAATCGAATTGAGAAGTCCTTTTTTGAAGTCGTTAAAAAAATATATTTTTAATACAGTTGCTCAAAACGTGGTATTTTTCGCACAACAAATCGTGCGGAAAGTTGGATTTCTCGCACTAGTGCTTTTTACTTTTCCAGTTTTTTTTAAATTTACTGTTGTTTTAAGTCTTAAACATAGAACTAAAGAGATTGTATATTTATTTCATATTTATGTGCTTTGTGACGTAAGTCATTCGTCATTACTATACTATGTCTATGGAGAGACCGCATTTTTACACCTATGAAGTAAATGCTCCTTAGTAGCGATTATGTAGAAAATAAAGTAATATAAAATAGTAATTTTAATGTGGCTGAATACTGGCAACAGTTGCCATATTGAAAAAAGTCAGCCAAAAAAGTACTAATTTTTTTAATGATTTTTTTTTCATCGTTTACATTCCCGCCTTTTTCATTAACTTTTTTTACGATTTGATTTTGTTATTGACAAAGGAATAAAATGAGGTTTTTTTTAAATACTGTTTTATTTTACTTTCAATGTAGGTTTTTATTAAAAATTTATCAAATGTGTTAAAAAACGTTGTTTGATACACATGCGGATTTGTCATTTTCACTTGTCTCGAGTCTTGACCCTCGCCTCTGGCTCGGGCCAAGATGCCTCGAGACTCGTGAATAATGACTAACTTTCCGCACTTGTATCAAAAATAACTATTCTTGCTCGTACTCATTAAAAATAGTATTGACTGCATATCCATATATAATATGATGTAGATAATAAAATTTATATTGAGGTCGGGTCAGAGAAACGCCACGCCGATATATTTTTTATATCACACATAAATAATTATATTTGAATCGTATCAGTGAAAAGCCAATATCATTTTGAACCTCTAACCCACCGCGCAAACGTAGACCCTTTACTGTCGTATGTTCGATACGTCCTACCGGTTCCAGTGAATATTTTATTTCATACATCGACCACTGTGTAACGATGCTGACCTCCTTCATTGTCATCCTACCTGTTTATTATTACCCTCTCTTCTCTTCATCATTTATTACCGTCTTTACTGGTTCCTGGCCATTTACTTTTAAAATTCTGAATCGTTCTCGAATTTTCTTATCCTTCACTATTCTTACGTTCATTCGTTTCGAAATCACTCCCATGAAAAACGAAAGGACGTTCCCATATATCACCATATAGAACTCAAACTTCATGTAAATTACTGTTCAATCATATAGGTATACGTATAAAGGCCCTTTTGGGGTAAATGTTGTCTGGATTGTTTAACAGGGAGTGTCTTATACTGATTGTACTTTACAGCCTTTTAGTTTCTACTTGTAAATGAATTATGTGGACCGAGCCTTTTCTTTAGTTAAAGCTAGGCTAAAACTGTTTGCGTAGACACAGACATTGGTGTTTTCAATTGCTTCCACTTGACACACACCGGCTACCAATAGTGTTCGATGCAAACAAGTAGAAACTGCTGCTGACATGGTTGATTTGTGTATAGGTATTGACGGTGACGACGTTTACGCCTACATGTAATCAGCACAATAAGTAAATAAAAATGATTCTTCATCGATATCCATTGTGACACTTATAGAATACTCAGGAATTAAAGTATGAAACTAATACCAGTGCCCAGATGTAGCAACCAGTACGATTGCCGTTATTGATCACAGCAACCCAGTATCCTATAATATCTTGTGGACTGAACTAACGGATAACTTACGTATTTAAGTCGCAATTTCACTCGACAGGTTTTGAACTAGTCCATGGTCCTTAAGCATGAGATTCCGCGGCGGTGACTCGACGGAAACTGCGCGTCAAACCCTTGAGAGCTCGATTATTCAGTACGGGTGCGGGTGCAGGCGGTGGCGGCGAGCAACTACCCTACCTACCTACCGTTTTCTTAATTTTTATTAAATTCTTACGGGAGATAGCACACTACACCAACAATGACACTTTCCAAAGTCTCATCCACACTAACTACTGACGTAGTATCTAACATTGTTTTTCAGTGTCGAGCAAAAATTCGACTTAAATACGCGAGTTAGTCGTTAGTTTAGGTCTGAGTCTCGCGGTAGTTTTCTGTTTGAAATTGGTATCTTGTGACGGTAACCAAATGTGTCTAAGTGATTAGTTAAACATCCACCACAGAGATAGCCGTCGAGTTAACATGAATGTTATATAAATTCGGACTTTGATATGGGTGCCTTATCCACCTCAAGGATTTACTTGTGAAACATAAAAACGCTTTAATTACTTCTCCAGTCCAAGCTTCAGCTCATTCAAGTTCATCGTTCAAGCTTCAGTTCGTTCAAGTTCGTCATTGAGTTCAAGCTTTCAATTCAATCTCAAAAATGACGTCTCACGAGTTATCACTACAGGAGTAAAAATGAGCACCGGGGATTCTGTTATAGCGTTATAATCGATAGACAAAAATTTGTCTACTCCCGTGTATTTTACATTTTACTTAGATGTAAGAGTGGCTAGAATAGCGTGTGAAATAAAGCAAACAACAAGGAACTGCTCAATAATCTATACTTTTGTCTGACGTCACGCGAGTCATCTCTGCAGGGGAGAGCATATTCGAACGGAACTGAAGAAAATCGAAGCTGGAGTACCTCAAGGAAGTGTACTAGGCCCCTATTCTTTACTTGCTATAAACTAATGATATTCCAGATCTAGAAAATAGCACCTTATTAACTTCGCTGATGATACAGCAATAATAGCTGTTGGAAGCATCCATAATGAAACGACAGAGAAAGTACAGCATTATTTGAATATATTCTACGAATTGACTAATATATGGCTCATTAAGCTCAACGAAACGAAGTCAGTACATATAGACTTGGCATGATGCTTGACGTCAAACTTCACTGGAAAGCCCACGTCAAAAAAAACGAGAAGAACTAGACATACGTTATAGAAATGTGTACTGGCTACTTGGCAGACAATCTACACTGTCTGTAAGCAATAAATTGTGTAAAAAATAATTGCTCTATAACCTATACTTTTATGTCTGACGTCACGCGAGTCATCTCTGCAGGCGAGAGCATATTATCGCGCACACATAAGGTGTGTACAGATTTGCTCGAGTTCTGATGATCGTTATTAACAGATTTACAGTAACAGATTGATAAGTAATCAGGATTAAAATCGAACAAATTTATAGGCACGTGCCTAATTTAAATTCCATGCACAGAAAAACACGCTGTCGATCTTTGTTTCACATTTACTTGTTCTGTTCGATCACATGAGTCGATCACCAATCGAGCAAATATGTAGGCATTTTAATGGAAGTGTAGAACCATAGTTGATAGAGAACACTTAAGTTTTTCTACCTATGCTATTGAACAAAATATTCAACACAACGAGTTTAAAATCTAGTCACAATTTGCTTAGTGCAACGTAAACATAAACATAAAGCACAGTGTCTATATTGTTTCATTTCATTAATGGTATCAATTTATTTTATCAAAGCCTGTAGTACCTGAATATTTAACGTTGTATTTTCAATACCTTTGTTGTTAGATTGCAAACACGAGCTTAATTAATATCGTGAGCTTCAAAATTAATAACTATTTTACAACTTGAGTAGATATTGAAAAACTGAAAATGAACGCGGGAATCTTCCGTCGTCTGAACAGTATCCAATAAATGAACCTTATAATTTGCTGCCTCAGAAAATCTTTCATATGTGTTGATTTCCATTTGAATTCGGGATACAGGAAAACATCATTTTTGTTTTAACAATATCAGAATGTTTTACTAACACAATATTCTTTTGTCTAATTTGTTGGTATTATTAATACAAAAATCGAACAAATTTAAAGAAAAATTCCTTTGATCCGGTTGAACTCGAACCAGTGATCTCACCATAGGTACCCTGGCTATCGCTCTACTGACTGAGCCCATTCTTTGTGTTTGGTTTTTAATAGAGCATTCTTGCAACTAGTAAATACCAGAGGAATAAGTTTCTAGACCTATCAGTTAGTTATTTCATATATTTGGGACAATGAGTTTCGGACGGTGGTAGTGGCAGTGTCCCTTGGATCTTTGCAATTTAAAGCTCTGAGTGCCACTGCAACTGTTATGGACAGGCGTGTCGCTTACTACCAGGCCCACGACTTCTTCATCCCGTCCTTGGTATCATAAAAAAAATGCGAGCTACGCGGGACTGGTCGTTGCGGCGTTCTATGGGGGAGGCCTATGTTCAGCAGTGTTACGAATATAGTATCGTGAAATATAAATAATATGTAACGTTAATATTACAATTGGCTTGATGTATCCCACTGCTACGCAGATATACGCGCTAATATACGTAAAAAATAAAAATTGTAAGAAAAATTAGGCAGTAACTGTATACTTGTTACGTCTGTTCTCATTACACTTAATCTTATAACTTGTTCCAGAATTGGACTTGGACTATTTGGAGAGAGGCGGAGGGGGCACCATGGCAGTGGGGGGCGCGCCCAGTGTGGAACCGAGCCCGGATAGCCTCGATCTCATCAAAGTCGTGCTGCTGGGGGCGCCCGCGGTCGGGAAAACTAGTATTATCCAGGTATATTTAAAACTTTTTAATGGGAAGATTTTAAGTTATGTAAAGCTTGAAATATCATCATCATGAAAAATCGACGTCAAAGCAATATAAATGTGGTTGTTGTCATTTTATAGACACTAGATACTTTTACTGTTAGGAATCCGTAAGCAAAATTTCTTACGTTTTAAATAGAAAACCACCGTGAGACTCAGACATATTAACTAAAATAACGGTTAACTCACATATATAAGTCGATTTTATGCTTGACCTGTTTCAACTCAATTCGTGGTCCTTAATCATGAGATTCCGCGGCGGTGACTCGACGGAAACTGCGCGCCAAAGCCCCGACAGCCCGATCACTCAGTACGGCTGCGGGCGCAGGCGGCGTCGGCGAGAAACTACCCTCGTTTGCTTCATTTTTATTAAAGTCATACGCAGGATTGCATTACACTAACAACGTCACTTTCTAAAGTCTCGTTTACACTATTTACTGACGTAGTACCTAACACTGTTTTCCAGCTGGGGGGTAACGACCATCCACTATCACGATTGAAATTCGAATGACGACCAACCTCAATGGCTTCGCGTACTTTAAAAATTCGACTTAAATAAGTGAAACTCAGTTACTTAAACTAAGCACTATTACATAATGTAATTGTAATAATGTGTCAGATAACCACACTAATTGTGTTTATATTATGGTTTCATGTTAGGAAAATTCCTGTACTATGAGTAGGAGTATAAAAGGGTTACCTATCAGAAGTCCGAAATGACATTTTCCAGAATAACGTTTGCTCGAATTTTCATAACCTCGAAGGTAATTTTGAGAGGAAAATGTTTTTTTCTTTTAAATCTAACTTAACCTTTTGTTTTTATGTTAATCCGGGGGAATCTGCTTACAGATACCCCGGTCCCGCGGGGGCAGAGCCGGGGTTATGTGGGACTGGGCTGAACCCTGAAGTGGAGCAGCCCGACCGCACTAAACCCCCGGAGTGTTCCTCCTCTCCGCTGTAGGTGGGGGTACGGGTACGCTGTTTCACTCGTCCGCGCCCCCACCAGCGGCTGGCCGCGCCCTGCGCAGCCCCTCCCCGAGAAGGGAGACACATCGGTCCCCCGACTCCGAATGTGAAGCTCGCCGAACACCAGACGAGCCTTCCATCCCGGGCCCCTTTATGCTGGGCAACGAACTCCCCCGAGTCCGCTACCCAGGGGCCATGGGGGGCCAGGACAGCATCCTCTCAACTGTGCAGTGTAGTGGCTGCTCCTCCAGCCCCCGCGGCGGATCTGATGGCAGGCTCCGCCGCAACACCTAACGCGCTTACGCGCGGACTCTCCGAAGAGAGTCCCTTGGAGCGCCCACCACGGGCCAACCGCCCACGTTCGGCCGCGGAGGATAGGACGAGCGGCAACGACACACCGACACGTCTCTTCCCCCGCGGCCCCGCTGCCACTGCATCATTGAAAGCGGTGCAGCCCCACCAGGGTCGCGGAGGACAGGACGAGCGGCAACGACACACCGACACGTCTCTCCCCCCGCGACCCTCCTCCTCGCGCATCCGCGCGGTTCCGCTGACCAGACGAGCCCCGCGCGGAACGTCCTCCTCCTCGGGCCAGCCTACCACCATCGGCCGGCCCCGTGGGTTCATCTTAGCTTCACCGTGGGATGAAATCGGCTACTAGAGCCCCCCCCGCCACGACAAGGCGGGAACCCCTTCGGGGGGGAAATCTAACTTAACCTAACCTAACCTAACCTTATCGTACCTAATCGTGTCTGCGATAAACATCCGACATATCCCGAAAGAACAACGGTTTCGTTATAATTCGCTTTTCGGGATAATGAAAATTCGAACTAACGTTATTTCGGAAAAATATATGCGAGTTTGTGATAGGTTACCGTATAAGAGCTACGGAATTCACCCAGGAAAAACCGAGGTCGTCAAAATATTTTATTTCATGCTAATTAAGCTTGGATCATTATCTTTATACAATTTTTATGTAATACATTGGTATAATACGGTCAAATACATACTTTAGAGCTCGCAACCCTTTGTTAAATCATCAACATCACTTAAATGTATTATGTACATTATACCTATATCAAGCTTTCACACTAATTACTACTCGAGACGTCTATCACCAATGTTGTGCGTAGGAAGAGCAATTATCCGGAAAGTTGATATGACCCACTCATAGTGCAAATTGGTTGTGTAATATCGTCATAATGCCATCTTGTATTAACAGGACCCGTACATCCTTAAGCCTCAGGTATAAAAACTATCAAAGATCAGAAGAAGTAGATTACGCAGATGTGACGTTTAATTTACTGTTATTTTTTTTCTACTCACGAACTACGGATATCATTATAAGTTTGGTGTAAGGACGGCACTAGTATACTAATTTACAGATAACAATCATTACTCTATATGGTATCGGTTCTGTACTCGGATAGAACCTTATCATGGACATGTCAACTGGTTATAGCCGGTTTTTTCCAAATTAATTTCAAAGACGATGGTATGACATTTTATATAAATTCGATTTGTCTGAGATCGTAGCTTCTCTTTCTTCTTATCGTATTGATAGTCCTTATATTTTAGGACTATATTGACTTTGAATAGTATTCTGCCACCTTGACTACGCTATCCATGGCCGCGTAGAGTTCTTCCCTCATAATAGGTACTATGGCACAAGGGGCACAACATTAAATGTTGCACGGACTGCGTTGGGGTACCACAGTCACATCGGATTAGTCTAGCATCCCTGAACCCCCATTTACACATCTTGTCCCAACAGCTAGTCAACCTGAGTGCTAAGTCGTTTTAAAGATTTCTGCACGGTCTATCGCAGATTTTACCTGGCGGTGGCTGGCTCTTGAGTGATGATGAAACCTGGTGTTCGAGGTTTTTTCTGTTTCTATAGTGATAGTTATATGGTCACTTAAGTGGTACGCTGGAAACTGTTCCAGTTTTCTAGGCGAGTTCAGGGGATTTGATGGTCATGTAGAGTGTGTTAATGTCAAACTCTTGTTTACGCCCCTCCGTGGAACATGCTACATCTTGACGCACGTATTAGGATACAATATCTGTTACAGGGTTTTTTTTATAATATCGAGTGATGGGACAAGTCGTGCGGCTGGTGGTAAGCTACACGCCTGTCCATAACAGTTGCAGTGCCATTGAGAGCTTTAAATAGCAAAGATCTGAGGGGCACTGCCACTGCGCATGTTACCCTGAGACATAAGTTGACAAGTCGTGTGTAAAGCCCTTCAAAACCGGAACGCAGTAACTCTCACATTACTGCTTGGCGGCAGAAATAAGTAAGGTAGTACTTCCTTGGACGAACTATTTTACAAGAAGCTCTACTGCTACTAAAATATGGTATAAATAGGTAAACCATATTGTTAGATTGTGGCAAGGTTGTTGAATGTAAACTTTTGATATTTGTCAACGACATCATCGTCAGCACTGGTCTCCTTTAAAAAGAGTATTTACGCAATTAGTCCACCACGCTGATCCTTTGCGGGTTGGAGACTTCACACGCTTTCTAAGGGTTGTAGACCTTTGATACCTGACCTGAGACCTTCTTGCATATTTCAACGCAATATTCTCCTTTGCCATTACTGAAAGGGGTTGCTTTCACTTTCATTCTCAAATACGCATAACTTAAAAATTAAAAGGCATAGATGCATGCTGTCACACGGATTCGAACCATCGATCTCACAATTGAGAAGCAACCGTCCTCCCGCTGAGCTATAACCGCCTAACAACACCAAATTGGATAACAACAGCATCAAAGAACCTAATCTGTTTTTATCCCGTTTCCGCTTCGAGTAAAAAAAATATATTTCTGTGCAAAATTACTTGTCTGTCTGGTTCGTTTGTTAAGTCGGATTTGGGCCATAATGGTGTTTAGTGTACTCTGCCTGATTTCCGTGGCGATTTTTGCTATTTAAGTTGTCGAGTATATTATCGTGAAATATTTATTCATATTTATAATATTTTACTCGAATACTATATAATATTTCACAATAATATACTCGAATATTTTACGATAATATACTTGAATATTAAATAACATTTCAAGTAACAATATTCTAATAATAAATAATATTTCACGATGATGTACTCGAATACTCAAATAATAACAAATGCTACGGAAATTAGGCAGACAGCGCGAAACTTACATAAATTTTCTCTTACAAAATTGTATTCTATTAGCGTTACTACAGAATGCCTTCAGTTGTTACGAATA